GGTAAGTTTCTAATAGATGAAACTTGGGGGACACAATTCAAACTTCAGTGAGTTTTGGGGGATGTAATTCAATCCACTACATTAGTATCTTTGACATGTCTGAGCCCCTCCCAGGGTGCAAACCCACGAGCCCCTGTTGTGGAGGCACTTTTTCCTACTACAGGATTAAGTGCAGTCAGCAAGAACTGGTTTCACTTTTCCCCTCAACTGTATGCCAGCTGGTTTGCTTCTCTAAGACTTCTTTCTTTCCTTATCTGCAAAATAAGGGTGACAGTCCCACCCATCATGCAGGCTATTATGGCTAAGGGCTTTAGCACATGTAAACATTCAGCATAGTTGCTACCATGTATCAGGGTTCAATAAATGTTGGTCATGTTGAATGTGTAAGGTATGGTCAAGCAGACAGCTTGGTTCTTTCCTACCTCCCCTGTCTTTTCACACGCCATTCTATTCTGTTCTCCACTGCTTTTTCAGGCCAAGCCACACTGTTTTTTTTTTTTTGTCAAATAAGCCACGTCTCTCCCACTTCAGGGCCTTGGCTTATGCTGTTTCCTTTGCCTGGAATATAACCTCTTTGTCTAGTTAATTCACATTCATCTACTGGCTTTCAGCTCAACCCTATCTTCGTTTGGAAGATCCTCTCTGAAATCTGTGGCACTGGCTTTCCTGTCTGTCCCCCGCTCCAGTCTTTTTGACATTTCACAAGTATTTGTGTGATGACTGGATTACTATTTTCTTTCCCACCGGGCTACAACTAGGTAGAACTCACCATTGCCCTGAATTGAGGGTAACTACTAGCTGAAGGAGTCCATGCTGGCTTCTGACATTGTTCCTGGAAGACAGAGGTTTTCATGATTTTTTCAGAGCTGAAACTGCTAATAATCAAACTCATAATGTCTGCAATGGCAGTTCAAGAGGAGGACTCAATGCATCATTCAACTTAATTGTAGTATATTTTCGAGAGACTCCAGAGAGGTCTAAGGAATCTTCATTTGGCTTTTGAGGATTTGGTAAGACTCACTAAATTGTTGAGCAATTAAATCTGCAATAGTTCCACTGAAGGAAGGATCATTAATTCCCCATTCTGCACTTAAAACATGCTGGGTGCACTGAGGTCAGTGTTCTGCCATTGAAAGGCAAGACCACATTACAGACAAATCACAGCCCCTGTGGACTGTGCCCTGTCAGGATTAGTTGCAACTAGAAGCTAAAGAAAAATGGTCTATTTAAGCAGAAAAAACCCATCCGAATAAAACCCAAAGAACTACACTTTGTTTTGCAACTGCTTCAGGGAATTCACATTTAATCAAAATTGAAGACTATAGCATTTGCCATGAGAATTCTTTTATCTTATTTCTGTTTTAGTGATTTCTTACTAATTAGCTGATGCTCCACAGAAATCCTAAAATGCTTAAAACAACTGGGAAACACAAATAAAAGTGGGAATTGCCATTGCTTATGGCAGAATTGTGTTTGCTTCCTTGGTTTTGGGCAATTTTGCTAACAAGTAACCTGTAACCTACTTCTGAAGTCTACATGTAGATAATTATTTGGTCAATTTTCATACTTCAGTTTATGATCCTAATTAGTTCTCCAACTAGTATTCCCTCAGCGATGCATAGTCCTACCTCATCATGTTTATGATTCTTGCAATTTGGGATCTCCTGTTTTTATTTAAAAGATAAAAAGCTTAATTTGTGCCCCACATTCCTATACTTTTTCATGCATTGTCATGTGTTCTTGCCAGGAGAGTTAGAATGTTCTGTAATTTAAAACTCAAAGGGTTGGACTTGCAGAGGGAGAGAACATACCTAGGGATACAAAGTGGTAGGGAAAGGGGGATGTGGAAGGAGATCAGGGGTAATTGGGGGGATAACTGGATGGGGGACACAGGGTATAATCACAATTCGTGGTAATGGGCATGCTGCCAGTATAGATCTGGCCATCACATCTTAGGCACAAGTGGTAACAATTTGCTTTGTACTCAATATTCATAACCAGTAAAAATAAGTAGGAAAAAAAAAAGAACTCGAAGGGAACTGAGTGACATGCTTGTCACTTTAAAGTAATTGTAATTGCTGTAATCATAAATACGTTACAGATATTAACATAACCTGAACATACTTTGAATTGCTTTTCAAGGAGTAGGTGGAGGCGCAGCAGAGGGAGGGAAAGGGTTTGGCATCAGGTGGATGCAAATTCAAATCGCATCTCTTCACTTATCTGGGCAAAGTTCTTCATCTGAGTCTACATTGTTGATAAGGCCACACACCTCTCAGAACTGCCCCAGGGATTTAGTGAGATATTGCAGTCAGGTGTTTAGCGCACACATGCCTGATACTCTGTATTAGCACTGTTCCACAGAAGTATAACATGAGCCACACACTGTATGTAACTAAAAATTTTCTAGTATCCACGTTAAAAAGTAAAAAAAAAAGGTGAAATTAATTACAATTATGTATTCTATTTAATCCAATACATGCAACATATTATTTCAAATGGATAAAAATTATTGAAATATTTTACGTTTTTAAAAATATTAAGTCTTTGAAATTCATTTACTCAGAATATTTCAATTTGGACTAACCATATTTTAAGTGCTTAGTAGCCAGATGTGACTAGTGACTGCTGTATTGGACAGCGTAGCTGTAGATGGTCAATAAATTCTCATTTCCTTGCCCTTGAATTTGAGTTAGTTTATACCTGAGTCGTCCAGCCAGTGGAATGGCTATGGAAAATAAAAAATCTGCACTCATAGTTCCTAAATTTATGTAGCTGTGAGAAAAACCAGTAGTACAATGACTAGAAGAGTATAAATTCTAGTGGTTTGTTAAATTTTAATTACCTTAGTATGATTCTAACAGGAAAAATGTATCACTTGATATTAAAAGTGGGCATTCAAATTGAATAGTGCTTATAAGATACAACTGAAAAAAAAAAAGCTTGAAAAATAACCCCTATCACATTCAGTTAGTCTAAACTTGAGGTCTTTGCACAAACAGAGGCGGTTCATGAATGATAGGGCATGTAAAGCCTCCAAAACTATACGCAATTTATTTATGTTATTCATTGTAAGTTTGTTTTTCTGCAGAGAGAATCCATAGTTTCCATCAAATTCTTAAATGGGCCCAGGAAATAAAGTCTAAGCAGCAGAGGTAGTAGAAAGCTGCTGGTTACAGTGGACATTCTGTTCACATGGAAGCTAGGGTTTCACATCATTGAGAACAGAAATTATTGATTGCCTTGTCACTGTTACCAAGGGAAATCCTGTGACTCGGTCACCAGCTCAGGAATGTTCACACGTGAGACACTTGGGCGCTCAGACTTATTGAAGAAATGTCAGATTCATGGTCCCTGGCTTATGCTTATTCTGGGGTATCCACTGGTGAAATGCACTTATTTTTTGGTTGACAGCACAGGATTGAATGCATGTAAGCTACCTGTGCACATGTGGGCTACTCTCCCCTAAGTGTGGGGTGATAAGACCTGTGGAACCAGATGTTAGGTTCTGAATTCAAATCCCAGTTTGGTTATTAATGAGCGGCACTGCATTTCTTTGCCTCCTCGAGTCTCCTGCTCATTGATAGAGTGATGATTTCTAAGGTCTCCTCCAATTCCTTTTAGTATATGATTTGCTAAATTAGATTTGGAAAATGTCATATTATAGTACATTGAAGTTATGACCAAGTGTATCTAGATAGTGATGTAAAAAGTAAGTTAGAATCAAACCAGACTTGAATGTACATTACTTCATTATTTCCCTCTACTTTTTCATAAGAGCACAGGCTGATGCCCTGGGGAGCCTTGATCAGAAACCCTTCTGCTTAACTCCGATATCACAGGACTGTTTAGGTTGGAGCTCTTTGTTCTTGAGGCCACGTACGACCCTCTGGCCTTTAATGAGAACACACAAGGATAAGAAGGAAAGCTATTGCCCCAAACACACTCATATGCTTATATAGGCCTTGTGCAATTTACAATTCACCTGACTGGTGTTTGTTCTCTGTGAAACATTAACTAGGATGACAGGGTGTAAGGTAAGAGTGCTGGGGATGTGGAGCTTCTCTTGGGAGCCGAGGACCCAATTCTGTTAGAAGTTAAATTCAGAAAGTATTGGAAAATCATGGCCCTAATAGTCCAGTCTGCAAAAACTTCACCTTGAAGGGTTGATGTAATTATCTTAGCAATGTTTGGTTCTGGAAGAGGTAATGAACAGACATCTTAATAGAGAGGAATAAGTATTTCAGTGTTTTATTCTCATTAAGTTGTTCTATTACAAGTGTGACTACTAATTAGTCTCAAGATTCTGGCCCCAAAGGAAGGATTTGGGTTTGAACAAGGTCTATGGGCGGAATCTATGTGTGAGATGCCTAAAACACCTGGTCATTTCAATCATAATTTCAATCAGATCAGTGAGTAAACCAGATGTCTGGCATCACAGCAAATGAAAATGACACCCTTCCTAATCCCATCTTTATTTTAAATTCTTTTTTCAGTAGTTATTACATCTGAAATTGGTGTAAATGCCATAATTAGGCAACAATTTGTAGCAAATTGTAGGATACTGGTGGTGGTTATAGTCTGAAAGATACCAGTTTTGAAGCCCACTACTTTGGTGACCAGTTAGTCTACGAAAATATTGCCTGATTTGCAGATACATTTTAGAAATGGAAAGCTGGACTGAGCCACCCAGTGTTATTAGTTATTACTGACAGGCCATAATCGTTGAAATAAACTGAAGAGATTTAATTGTAAACATGACCCTGATTGATAAACTTGCTCAACGCTATTCTTATTTATAGGCTATTTGGCCAGCTTGAAGCTTTCTGTAAGACAGGCAGTCAGAATGAAGGATTACATGGAAAATTTGATTCCTTATTCTTTGCTGCTAGATCTTGGTTTTACGTCCATCGTTGGGTTCCAGGCTGAATGAAGGCATCAGGTGCTGTGAAAGACTTAAATCCTTCCAAGGCAGCAGGTAACACAACCAAGAAAAAATAAACACTGCAAAAGGTTTTTATTTTATGGGCACCACTGCAAAATGAGGAATCACGTCAAAACATATCAAATAGAAAATAATAATTTATTTTAACTTCATTTTACTTAATGTTTGTAACTAATCATGATTTCATGAGCTTGTTTGTGTAAGTCTGTACCTTCAAATCTACAAAGCAAAGGTTTACTACAATGAGCACTTAAAACTTCACAAACTGTCTCCATCTACAACTTTCCTGTACATGCGCATTCTTCAGATGGGCTGCAATATTTGCAAACATGCTTTAACCTTCCATAAAGCTGCGTGATATTTTGCTTTCTGTTAAAACCTTTACACTCTCTTTGGAACCTTAACCAGAAGAATGTTTAAATATATATCCCAACTCTAAACATTGCAGGCTTGGTTATGTGCATTAAATCGTTAACCACAGAGTTTGGTGGTTTTGAGTTGAAACCTTGACCTAAATAATATATTAAAGATCACTTATATGAAACACATTTAGCAAAGTACCGTTATAAAATAGGGTTCCATTAAAAATACAAACTGGCTGTTGTATGTGTGTTTTAAGCAGGGAAAAAAAGCGTGTTTAACTTTTTTATATGGATATAGTTTAAACAAATTATTCCTTGAAAGTATGCTTAATAAAAGATCTTTTTGAAATTTAAACTTTATGTAAAAGGTAACAAGTAAAAAAGTACAATTGCTATTTGTAAAAAGCTGTTTGTTAATATTGCCTTCCAAGATAGTAAGGGTGTTTTTTTTTTTTTTTCTTCCCTCCACTTAAAATAGAGCTATGACACCCAGAATTGTAGGGTTTGCAAATTTGACTATAAACACGAAGACCGTATTTATCGTATATACAAAAACTTGCCGCATTGAACGAGGCAGGGATTTCTACCCCAATGGTAGTGGTCTCTCTTATGTACATATCGCAGAGGTGTAAATTATACAGTAGTCACCGACAAGAACGCATTGTATACTCTAGTGCCGTCTGGTGATTTTGTGCCGTGGGTTAGGAGTTCCTGGATCGTCATCCAGTTATCAAAGATCTTTTTGTTCCTCTTCTTCATCATCTTTTTGTGGCTCAGTTGGAGGATGTTCATCTCCTTCCTGTCGTCGGCGCCCTGCTGCTCCCGCAGACAGTCCAGCCTGCTCTGCATCATGAACTCGCGCCGGCGCCGCTGCTCCTTGGCCTTGACCAGGTGCTGCTTGCGCTCCTCCTTGCTCCAGTAGCGGCCCATCTTCAGCTCGCTCGCGGCGTCGTCGTCGGTGGTCATGCCGCTGCGCTCCTCGCGGATCTTGAGGGCACGCTCCCGCAGCAGCCGGTCGCGCACCGGCCTCTTGGTGATGTAGCGCGTGCCGTCGCTGCGCACCTTCACCTTCCACTCCAGCCTCGGCTCGGCCGCGGAGGCGGCGTTCAGGTCCTTGCACATGCTCACCAGGCTCATCTGGCTCTGCGCGTACTCCACGGCCGACTTCTGCTGGATCAGCTGCATGTAGCTCTGGTAATGCTGCGCGTGCGCCGGGATGTGTGCGTGCTTGTACGGGGAGTGGTGGAGGGAGGGCAGGTAGGCGCCGCCCAGCTTGGGGCTGGGCGCGGGGCTCCTGCTGCCATCGCTGGGCCTCCTCTCCTTGCTGTCGAGGGGCTGGCCGGGGTCCAGCTCCTTGGCGGAGGGGCTGTAGTTCGGGGGGCCTCCTTCGGGATCTTCCGTGATGGCGAGCAGATTCTTCGGGGACGGGCCGTCAGCTTCCCCGGTCCCCACGGCCCCTTCGCTGCCCAGACAGCCAGCGCCCTCGGCCAGTCTGCGCAGGGAGTTGTCGGGGGAGATCTCCAGCGTGAGCGGGGTGCTGCGGCAGCTCTCGCCCGTGTTGTAGGCGCTCGAGCTGTCCTTGTCCGACTTCTCGGGGAGCTCGGTGATGTCGGAGAGCTCGTGCCTGCGCACGTCCACGCTGGTGTTGTAGTTGCGGAAGCCACCGTGGTGCAGCAGCCAGGGCTCGCGGTACTGCTCCTTGAGCTGCTGCAGCTTGTGGGCACGCACGATGCTCAGGCACTCCAGCTCGATGCTGCGCAGCTCCTCGTTCAGCAGCTCCAGCTCCTTGTCCACGCTCTCGGGGTCGCTCTTGCCGGCCGCGTCCAGGGGGCTGCTGGGGTAATACAGGCTGTAGGGGCTGGCGCTCTTCACCTGGCACTTGAGCTCTAGGAGCTCGCGGAAGCGCTCGCACTCGTCCACCGGGATCCCCAGGTAGTCAGCGTCGGTGCAGTCAGCCGAAATGAAGGACTCGTTGCTGAAGGGCAGGTCGCCGCTGCCCAGGGTGTCCTGGCTGCAGGTGAGCTTCCTCTGCCCCGCCAGCGGGTTGGAGGCCGCGGTGGCGTCATCGCCGTTGTTCTCCTGCTCCGAGCTCTCTTCGTTGCGGGTGCTCTCGTCGGTTCGCCCCACGCCGCTGTCCTTCTCATGCTGGTTGGACAGGATGGTGGCTGTGTCTGTGGTCCCACCGTCTTCCTCATGCTTCTTCTGCATGACAGAAAAGGACAAGAACAAAGGGTCACAGTGAGGGAAGTGTGAGCAGCAGGTACCCAGCTTTGACCTTTCTTTGTAGGGAGTCTGGATAGGGCAGGCTCTACATTTCTAGAACTGAGGAGAAGCACCTGATAGCAAGACTAGGTCAAGGGCCTGGGGATTAGCCAGACCTACCTCAGTTGACCTGGGCAACCTGGCCTGGGCCAGTCACTCATCTCTGCTATCACTGTTTTCTCATCTGTAAAATGCGGACAACAGTAGTCACCTTACCTCAGTGAATGATTCTCACTATTAAAGGAACCAGTACACGGGTAGCAAGATTCGTGAAGGGCCCTGTTTAGCTCATAAGGGACTCAATAAGGAGGTTATTATGACTCTGACCATGGTAGTGACATAGAGGGAATTATAGGGCTCTAAGCAGCTCAGGTTAAACAGAGGGACTCACTTTAGTTTTGAAAACAAGACTTTATTTTCTCTGATCTGTTAATGCCGGCACATGTGTTATCCAAACAAACATCAGAAGGTCAGCTGTGCCTAGGTCTTAAAAGCCTGGCCAAGGAGAGTATCAGCTTGCATTTCACTTGTGCTCAAACAGAAAAGCATTTAGGCTGTTTTCTTGCTGTCTTCCAGGTGGGTGGGTTTCTGACAGTCTTTGGCAGCAGGGAGAGAGGTCGTGTAAGCAGATTTTCCTACAGCTTAGCGGGGTGCGGGGTGAGTGTTACCTGCTGGAGCACGCTGGCTGTGAACTGCATGGCCTGGTGGTGCTGCTCCTCAAGCATGTCCATGTGCAGCTCGTCCAGAAAGTCGTTCCTGTCATCATCCATCCAACCTTCATCCAGCTGGGGGAGAAGCAGCAAAACATGCTGGAAGTGTATACTGTTTTTTTTTTTTTAATGACGGACATTATCTTGGGGAAAAACATTTCTAGGGCTTCCTCCAGGAGTCAGCAAAATGCGATCTGCCCATTGTTTTGCTATAGGTCAGAAAGCTACCCCATCCTCACTTTCAAGAGAGCTCTGACCCTACAGCCTATCTGGGGAAGTATCTGGTGTCTTTTTTTTTTTTTTTTAAACAGCATGAAACTCTTTCATCTACATCAGCTACTTTCAGTGAAGCTGACCACCTGTATTGGAGGGTCTCAGGTATACCTAGCAGTGCCTCCTGCCTGCCTACTCACACAAGTTTAGCAGTACCCAAAGAGAAACTATGTTTAATCTGCAAAGGGTCTGCTAACTTGCTGTTTGGCTTGCGCAATGATGTCACTTTTATCAGGCCTTTATCTTCCATGCAGACTACTCAGGAGTTGGCAATCTACAGCCCGTGGGCCTGCTGTTTTGTTTTAAAAAAAAAAAAAAAGTTTAACTGAACACAACCATGCCCATTCGTTTACATATTGTCTATGGCTGCTTTCGTTCTGCAAGGGCAGAGTCTAGCAGTTGCAACAGAGACTCTGTGGCCACTCAAGAAAAACATTTATTATCTGGCTTTTTAAGAAAAAGTTTGCTGACTGCGGATGAGATCAGTGCTGAAATTCCCTGAGAGCTCATGATGCTACCATGGGTGGTGAATCACACCATTTCTGCTGCTCTCCCTAGGATATTTGTCATTTGGGTTTCATACCCACAGAGACCTACCACCCCAGACCCTTCCCTAGAGCCGTTCTAAGTGATTGATGGTGCCACCTGGTATGAGTTCATGATCCTTTCCGTGGAACGAGTTTTTACAGCACCATGGTTTCTGAATCAGATTACTCGGGCCTGAATCCCTCCCTGCTCTATCCCTCTCCATCTGGGTTACTTTCCAACCTCTGGGAACTTCAGTCTCCTGGGAAGATTTACCTGTGTGTGAAGTACCCCACAGAGGGCATGGCACTTATTAAATGGTCACCAAGTGTTAGTACTTATCACTGTTTTTGTTCATTTTTGAAAGAATGATTTCTATTTCCCCACACTCTGGTCTTGTAAACGGGACTTGCACAGATCAAGGCTGGACTATCTATCAGGCCTTGGGAAGTCAAACATCTTGCTGGTCTCGGCCCTGGCTGTGTTTTCCATTCCATTATGTTTCCTTTCCTTTCCTTCATTATGATCCCTGTATTATCAAACCTGTTTGGGCCTGTGGTGTAGATGCCAGGCTGGGTGTCAGCACCATCCTTAAATAGTTAAATCATAAAATGAATTCTAAGTCGCAGCAAGTTCAATTATCTTTGCAGGGTACAAAGCACCTTTAAATTCAGATTCAATGCTCGTGTGCTGTCCTGTGGGGCTGAGGACTTGGGGTTTTGATTTTAGAAATACCCAGTTTTGTCTGCAGGAAGCCGACTCACCTGGAGTTCAGGCCTTGCAATCAACAATGAAAAGTTCTTATTTTCTTCGCTGGTTAGAAGAGCCACAGCCTCTTCACGGTTCTGTACCTCTATCCCATTAATCTTTAAAAGAAAAAAAAAAAGTGGGGGTTGGGATTGGTAGACAATAACATGATTAGATCATGCAAAATCATTCTGTATTATTTCAGGTCTTCACTGGTCACCCACTCGTGGCTGGGACATAGAACTGCCATGTTGCTTGAAAAGAATGCTGACTTTAGGAAGGAGAAAAGGCCTTGCTCAGACTGAGGCAGCTTCTCTGGTCCATGAGAATGCCTCTGTAGGTGTAGTTTCTGAGGTGACTGTGATGTGGGGGCCAGGTGAACAGAAAGGACTGGGATTCCAGAAGATGGCACTGAGAAAAATCACAGTGTTGTGCATAGGGAACATCTAAGCAATTTAATCAGCTATAATATTTAGGCAGGAGTATAAATGCAATAACTAAAGCATTATTGCAGATATTTTCAGATAATGTGGGAGAAAAAGCAATGGGTCTGATATAAACACCATGGGCAGAGAAAGGAATGGGATTATACGTGGTGCTTTCTTTATGTTCTCAGTTTGACACTGTAACTTCTGTAGTCCAGACAGAGGGTCAGGTGGGAGTGACTCTCTCACTATGACACCTGATTGCCCACTTGCAGGACTTTCACTTGCATGTCCCAGCAACTTTGAGCTCTGCTGGTCTGGAGGTCTTAGTTGCAGGGGGGATGCTTCATCCAGGGCATGTAGCAATGGCCCCACTGAGTTGAAAGTTGAGCCTCCTACCTCACTCCTTATGCTAGTGACCCAACAGGCAGCAAAAGGAATTACTCTACTGGATGGAGTGATCAATTCCAATTACCAAGGGGTTGCTGTGACACGGTGGAGGCAGGGAGGACCAGGTCTGGAACCCAGCAGGTTCTCTGCTTAGTACTTCTACTCTCAACAGTAAAGGTTAATAGAAAACTACAGCAACCAAAAAAAAAAGGCAGTATGCTGAGGAGTCTGACCCTTGTTGTCTGCCGGTTTGGGTCACTCCCGCAGGTTATGGAACCCCAAGAAGCTGAGGTTCTGGCTGAAGGCTGGGGAAACACAAAATAAGCACTGGAAGAAGAAAATCAAAATTATTTGTTGTGAGGGATATAACGAGAAAAATAAACATAGTGGATTAGAAGTGAGAAGAGGTAGAAAGTTGAGCCTCATGGGTGGGACACAGTAAAGGCAAGACTCTCGATTTCTGTGAGATTGAAAAGGTTATAACTGAAAGAGAAATAAATGGTCCCATTTGGACTAGAAGGAACAGCAGGGCTCGAGATAAAGAAGCTACTCTTAGAAGTAGTTCCACAGAACAGTTAAATGTTGAGTCAGGAAATTTAAAAGACTTCTTGATCCATTTTGCTAAATTTGCCAAAGATATTCCCATTCTAAGGACAACACCCACCTTGAAATGCTTGGTCCAAAATTAATCTTTCAGAGATATCTAAAATGAGAATTATTCTAGTTCATAAGGTGGAAACTGTTGGCCTGATTTGATCCACTGATGTGATATCTGTGGCCCAAACAGAATTAAATTTAAATGGCATTAACTGGTGCATACATATTCTGCAAGGCCCTCTTTAGATGGAGCATCTTCTCTCTGGTTTTTCTCAGTCCTCACCACTCCCTATTGCATCTTGTTCCCCAGAGTTTGCCTTGTTCATTCATTCATTTAACTTGTCTGGCCTCACTGCACACCTGTTCTTTTCTCCTGCATTTTTCTCCCTAAAACTGTTATTAGAGACCAGTTTGTTCTTCAGTGATAGGCACATAACAAGCCACAAGTTGGAAGTAGACCTACCTGGATAATGCGGTCTCCTTCTCGGATGCGCCC